TCAGACTGAAGAAGTCTCTTGGAGGAGAGACGAAACGTTTCACTAAACAAGAACCCATCCAGAGGACCTACTTATTTTTTTCTTTTTGATTTTTTTCTACCTGGATTACTAAGATGCATCAGGACATCTGGAGAATTGATTATCTTGTGTGCGCAATGTTCGCTTGCTCTTTAGTAAATAAAGCAAAGCCATTTTCTTTGTTTTATCTTTATTTCATCTGCCGAAGACAGACTGGGGAAAAAAACCAAGACACTCCTCCCTCTTCAGAAGCACGTCTACTCTCTGTCCCGGTCTGAACGTAGCGCGACCAACTGGAGGCGTTGGGCACTTTTTTGCTGCTCAAAATGCGTTTGGTATGAACGTAGCATTAAAGTGACTTTGGAATGAAACGAGGCCACAAGGGCGACTGATGCCAACCCACCCCTGAAGCACTTAAGTGTCACAAAGTGACAGAATCAAAGCAGAAATGGTCAACGTGAAAAGGTAAGCTGGTGTTGTAGCTCAATAATGTGTTGAAGTGATGATACATGGTTTTTGCTGTTATTACTGTTTTATGAAAGAGCTTGTTCCATTTTTCTAATAAAACAGCAATCAGATTACAATAAAACACTGGTTTTATGATTAAAAAAAGAATCAGTTTTTTAATCGTTCCTTTCACAACTACTTGTATTTTCACATTGCACTCAGTTTGGGCAAAATGTGTCCCCAATTCTGGTCCAGCCCTGTCCTTTACTTTACTTTAAACCCTGACTGCGTTTCTCACACTTTGACATGAAGGCTACCAAAATTCATCCCATCTTCTATACTTCTTTTCTTAAAATGTGACTGTTGAAGCAAAATGTTGTCTGAGGTTTCATTCCTTGACCTCAAAAGTTGGCGGATTAAACAAGTTTTGAGTTGAGACAGACTAAAAAAAAAAGAAGAAGGTGGTTTAGAAAAAGCTTGCGATAGCAAGAAAAAGCTTTGCTGGCAGATGCAACAAAAAGCTCCAAATTAAGTGACCTTTTCGGTCCACGAGTGGCTGATGGAGCAGTGAGGACAGAGGGAGCAAAGCAGATGCTCTGTACTTGCATCTTAATGTGCAAAGTTGTAAATTAAACAAAAATATTGTGTTTTATGATAAAATGGAAACTTCTCCTTTATTATTTTTGATAATTTGCAACTTATTAAAGTCAGAGTGGAATATTTTCACCCCCTCAGCTACCTGCTGTGCTAAATCCCACTTTTACAGCAAATAGGTTTTTATGCAAATGCACTAGAAACAAGATCCGGATGAACTATTCATGATTTCCAGATTACAATAAACACATTATATAACGCTAACTATAAAACATTTGTGAATGTTCCAAGTGATTGCATTTGCATGCAAAAATGACAGGCAGGTAGAATCTGAGACAAAGACAGACAAGAGGAGGAAGGGGGAAGCATTTTCCCAACAGCATTTATTGTCGGAAATGTATACTAATACAGCAGCCAGAAAGAATCAAATCAACAACAAAAACAGGATAAACAAGGAGGAGAAGTAAAAAGGTGCAAGTATCAAGACAGGAAATGTACATAACAAAAAGAAAATCATGCTCTATTATACGTATTTTAAAATTCATATATTTTATATTCACACCTGACAGTCCGGTAGACTCGGTTGTTTGGGCACCAAAATTGTAAAGTTTGTTTAGGTTTTCAGTTGGTGCGGTTCACATTCACACTGCRCTGCTTCAAACGACTAGACCCTCTCAACTACCTGTTCCTCCCGACGACTGTGGTGGTGCTGCACCAAGAACCACTAAAGGAATAAACAGGAAAATTTCAGAAGAAGACATGGAGCGCAAGTTCCTTCTACACAAAATGTAAGCTAACATGGAGTGACAYCAGATTTTAGTTGATGTAAGATTTATTTTTTGGTTTTGGCAAATGTGCCAAAAAATAGCCAAACATGAGCTCAGCATGAGAGGAAGATGAGGCAGAACCATGGACGGCTCAGAATGACCTGGCGCTATAGTCCGCTTCCTGCTTTTGAAGTGGTCTCTGGTCCGGTTGGCGTTCACACATGCAATCGAACCGCACCAGAGTTCACTTCAACTGAATCAAAACCTAGGTTTGCAGGCAGACCAAAGTGTGCTTTTTTTGGTCCGCATCAGAGTTCGATTACGCGTTCACACCTCTCCAAACAAACAGGACTTTCCAGGCAAATGAACTAGAGTTCGATTAAAGCGGACTAAACAGGGTTGGTGTGAATGCACCCCAAAAAGTTGCTGAAAAGGAAATAAATGGTTCAAGCCCACCTGAGGGAGACAGTTGCATGTGAGGCCAATGTTACACACGAGAAAGTTAATTATCACCCATCACCTTGACTRGATAAACACCTTTTCATGGTGCAAGAAGACGCCCCAGCAGGGAGGTGTCGACCATTAAAGAGCAACTAGTTTTAAAATTAACTACACTTACTCACACTCAGGTGAACACATTTCAACAAGCAGTGATCTGTGTATGTGAGGACTGCCTCCACACGGCTAATGAACTTAGCTTTTTCCTTTTTGGCATATTTCATTTTAAGTTCTCAACTTGTGAAGAATAACATCACCAATCAGTTCTAATTACAATAGCTTCACATCCAAATAGACCAACTGGAGAGACTTCATAAAACTATAACAAACAGAGCAGGTGTGCTTAAACTGTATTATTCAGTATGAAGGTAAATGCCCGTGTTCATTGAGGCACATTACAGGTAAAACTCAAAAATGTGTTTCGTGTTTCTAAAGATGGTAACATTTCCYTCCTGGACTAAAAACAGAGGTCCTTAACTACCGGGCCAAGGACATACAGAAATAGGCAAAAGCTTTCACACTAAACACAGCATGTTGTGTGTGACGTCACGTCTTCTTTTATGCATGTGGGTCGCTTCAGGACCATGGATTGTTCCCACTGGAGTCTGATGGCAGTTGCATTTAAATTATAATGTGAATGACCATGCACAAACACACACAGAAAGATCTGAGCCAAAAAATACGAACTAAGACAGACTTGGGCTTGCACTGGCAAGAATTTGATTTGATATGATCTATCGCGATATATAAGCAAGGCGATATCTTGCCATTTATTCCTCCAAAAGATTTGAATTGAAAAAAAAAGAACGCACCATGCATTGCATGCATAAAATCTAATTAAATTCAGTTCACTTTTATGCAATCAGAAGAACAATGAACAACAGTGAGAACTGAATTTGTATTTCAACACCCATCCATGAAGTCTTAATTAAAAATCAATGCAGTGCTATTGAGAACAGACACAGTATCAGGGGAATGAAATATCACAATATTTCAATGTATCAATACTTATTACACCCCTAATTAAGACCTTCAGTGTGTAGTCAAAGTGGTTTCACAAATGTAATTCATTTAGAAAAAAGTTTAATTTATATCACCAGTGAGATCAGATTTTGTTGTATAACTTTGAGTATAGGGGTACATTTACAGTGCTACAGAATATATATGGCTCGAATGTAGGGAAATCTCTGGAAGAAGACCGCGAGGACAAGAATGGACAACATAACCTAAATTTGGATCGGAAAATGTCTGGATAGGAGGTGTAAATATAGAGGGAAGCAAAGAAGATCGTGTCCAAAATTACAGACCGAGACTATGTTCAGCTTCCCAGGGTTGATGTTCAGTGTGATGTTTGATAAAAAACAAACAAACAAACAAACAAAAAAAAAAACGTAAAATTTTTGAAAAAAAATGTATGGAGACAAAAAAAAGGAAAAAAAGTTTAAATGCATAGTGGCGGCAAATGAAGTTCAAACAGTCAAATCCTGAAGAGAGAACTCAAACAAAAAGCGGGAGTGGGGGGGAGGCTTTTCAAGGATGCACATAGTGTGTTAAGGTGATGCTCACTGACAAGATGGAAAAGGGAGAAAACACGAGAGCGTGAAGGAGAGCTTAAGGGGGCTGCTGTTTCTCAGCTGAAAGGTCAGTGAGAAGGAGGAGGCTGCATGTGGTGTCATCCTGAGAGCGTGAAGCCAGAGGGTAATGACTACTTGTGATGGACACCATATGTGCAACCCGGTTGTTGAGACATCAGTGTTTTCCCTGTGATATTTGCTAAAAGCCCTAATGGAGCCAACATCAGCTCCCCTTTGTACCTGAAACACCACGACTCCCCAAACTATTTGTAGCACTAAGATAGCTCTGACTCGGAGCAGGAGTTCTTCACTTTGGAACGGCTGATCTTACTGAGTTTAAACCAAGGCTGAACTGAGTGAACCATGAAAGGCATTTTTTAGATGATCTCTGCTTATTAAATTGAATTAAAAACCTTTGACAAATTGCTACAGTGGATAAAACTAGACTTAAATGAACAAAAACAGAGTAATGGTTGTTGAAGGTGTTTGTGTTGTAAATAGGTCATGGTTTATAGTTGAGGTTAAATAATCTGTCGCTGATTGCGTGTATGAGGCTGAAAATTCTGGGAACCTCTGTTTTCAAATATTTCAGCAACAGGGTGTGTAGTTTGTCTGGTTTTAGCAGAAACCACATGTATGAAGTTCGAGTTCAAGTCCTGATTTGTTCAGAAGAAAAACAGTTGATTTATCGTCAGGCAGTTTTGAGTTACCAAAGACGATGTTCGCCAAAATGCGGATGTTTTTGAAAATCAGTTTTAAAAGCATTGTCAAAACCTAAAAATCTTATAATAATAATATATTCTCGATTTATTCTCRAATTTTCTTGTAAAAACGACATCGTTGACTGCAGCTCTGCTGCTAAAATAAATATAAAGTGAAACAGCTAAAAGCACGGGTGGTTTTTAATGGTTTTCACTAACTTTTCTAGTGAGAGACAATGAGGAGCTGCAGACCTCAGAAACAAAACTYAGAGGGTCACAGAGCTACACTATCAATCCACCACCATTATACTGTATTGTGAGAAAGTTTCCCCTGAGCGTAACACATGCCAATTGTCTGCCTGTTAAGTTACTTGACTTTCATGGGAACAAAATCAGGTCCAGATGGTTTTACCTCAGTGTTGGAAATACATGGCTCTGAGAGTGGGTACTTTTTCAAAACAGTAAAACAGGAATAAAAAAAATTAAGAATGACTTTGGATCACAACAGGGAGTAAAGAACTGGTGGGACAAACAGGAAAAACAAAAGTAGAAAGAATAAAAATCAAAACACAAACTGAGGAAAATACAGCTTCTCACACGCTGACTTTGAATAAAAAGTATCAGATCAATAAATTTCATTATGACAGCCTAAAACATCRTAAGTCAGATTGCATTTTTTCCCATGGCCGTGACTCAGAGCAGAAAAAAAAGTTTTACTTGTCTAAAAGAATATTTGTGACAGACTTTAAAGTTGTGAAGATTTAATTTTTTTCTTTAGCCTCAGGGTGTTGACGCTCTCTTCTAAGGTTTATTTTTCTCTTTACTCTCCAAAACTGGATAGAAAAAAACACATATGCATATGCAGTTATTTTAATAGGCTTATTATAACAGCACTTCACTGTTCCAGTTTATACCGAACCAAAAATGAACACGAGAGCTATAGAATATCTTAAAAACAACAACGAAAAAATGCCTGGCAGAATGCATGAGCACATGTTTTGCCTATTAGGAATATTATAAACTCCCAAAACGCAACAATGATGAGCATATTTTAATTAAGTTCTACTCARTGATCACCATATTGTTTATTTGAAAACAAATCCCCATGTGAAAGAGGCAAAACTCAAAAAAAAGGTGCTATCAATCAAAAAAAACCTCTAAAGCTTTACTCCTTGCTATGAGTAATTAAGACTAAAATATACTAGGGCTGAAACGGTTCCTCAAATAACTTGAGTAAATTGATTATTAAATATCCTCAAGGCAAATCATCTTCCTCCAAGCTTTGTTAAAAACAGTAAACTATTCAGGGCACTTTTGATACTTGTGTTGCACTTCCGCTAGCCGCTACGCATGCATGCTAAGTGCTGTATATAAGCGGGAGATGAAGAGTCCCAAAATCGACCAAATAATCGATAGACAAATTGATTATTTAAATAATTATTAGCTGTAGCCCTAAAATATAAACAATGGCCTTKACAGAACACCTACAATCAAATATTTAGCAACTTGCCCTAAAGATCACCACCATTTGCCTGCACAGAATAAGTCTGAAAATACAACTTTAATAAAAGTTGGAGGCAGGACGTCTTATGAATACCTAACCTAAAATCTCTAGAAATAAACAATCTGGTGTCTGCAATAACTCATGTTGTCACTTTTTCCTCAGTGTATGGTGAACTCAGAGCAGATCTTTGGGGCAAGGCTCTAAAGCACATGTCAAACACAAGGCCCACTTCTGTGTGGCCCGCCACGGGGGTACAACCCCCACCCCCCCAATTTTTTTTTAACTTAGCATGAAATTAGTTTCTTTTATCAATGGTAAACTTTAAATTTATGATTAAATGCAACAAAATAAATTTAATAAAAATCCATCCATCCATTTTCTGTACACGCTTATTCCTTTTCAGGGTCGCATGGGTCACTGGTGCCCATATCCAGCAGTCACAGTGCGAGGGGCGGGGTACACCCTGGACAGGTCGCAAGTCCATCACAGGGCCACACATAGAGACAAACAAGACAAACAAGCATTCACTCTCTCACTTACACCT